TTATTTGTATTATTCAATTACTTTCTATTTATTTATAGACGCTTTAGTGAACCGTTTTATCAATAACATTTAACAAAGGGTCACAACAAAAAGTGTCAAAATATAAGAAAATCCCATTTAATCCATTAAACAGTAAATTGGTCTTTAAATAACAATAATATAATCTACTAAATGAATATTGCGCCAGACGATTAGTACTACTTTATTACTACCTAAACAGTGAAAGCTTTTACTGCACTTGGAGCATATTCTACCCTTTCATTACATTGTTAATGGAATGGACGTTAAATTTTCATCGGTCAATCTGATGCAGTTTTATGAAACATACTTTCAAGAAAATATACCAAATTACCCAATCCTTTTTCACTTGAGGGATGCGATGCTTCTGTGGAAATAAATCTGAACTTGAATGCAGGATTTATACATTCACATCGCACATTTCTTCGCTTATTAGATACGCTAGTAATTTTATGTGATTAAAACGATGTTTTTGTTTCCGTCAACTGTATTTTGTCATCTGTGGGTGTACTGCGTAAACATATACCTTTTACAGATTTAATTAACTGCAGACCATGTAATAATTATCATTTTCCATTAGTGAAGCTTAATCTGATTGATAATGAATCTCATGTAAGTTTGTGTCCTTAAAATGATTAATTCTGAAAAGAGACGACACCAACTGCATCATACCGATCTTTGTCTTCTTTTTTGTTTGGTTCCGTGTTGCAACTTACGCAAGTAAACTATTTCTATTCGACGGCAGGGTATGATGCAATTCGCATTCTACTAAATTCTTCCGTTTGTTTCCTACTAAACTTTGTCACATTGTTATCTGCGGCAGGCTGTAAAAGTGTCAGGTAATGGTAATACAAAAAGCGTAGCACAGTATTGATATATTTTCATAAAAGTAAGTACATAAGTAACTAATTGCTGTAAGCCAAAGCAGTTGAGTAAAAAGGTTAAGCAGGAAATGAGAACAATTGGCACTTATTAATAAAAGTGAACCAAATTAAGTAATCCGGGTACTCAAATTGACTATTGCTTAACCCAGTTTACAGTATTCTTGCTTTTAATGGCATTACAACATTTCATTGAAATATAATTGAATATGCATACACAAATATAAATAGTTAGAAGTGCCCATTTAAAGGTACTACAAATGTAGTAGAAATCTTCGTGTACCTACCTACTTAGGGCTGTTCTTTACGTACCTACCATAAGCTGAACTAGCTTAAGCACCTTGCCCTATAATGTGTGAAACGCATTGGTACAGTTGACGCACCGTATCTGATGCATGCCGTAGCCGTAACGTTGGCATTATTTTTTTGCGCGTCAAATACGTTTTCATAATATTAATATTAACAAGATTTAACATACTTGCATACGGTGAAAATTAGCTATATGCTATCTACATAGTATTTACATATTTGTTGCGGTTTTGTCTACTAGGCTTTCGAAAGGGGGCCTGACGTATCCATCCTTTTTTTGCATTAGTCTGAATTAGAAAGACATAGTTTGAAGTTTCTTGGGTGCCATCTTGAAAGCCATTCCCAATAAAGAAAATATCTAATAGATATCAAACCCAAACCATTTTGGTTAACTTTTTTGTTTAATGTCGTGATCACTTAATGATCCTTTACTTAAGTTTCTATGTTTTCTTATTTGAACACGATTTTGGGATATTTGTATAATTAGACAAAAACTTATTTTCGTGACCACTAAAATAAAAACCTCCAAGGTCTTGTAATATTCAAAGGCAAACAGAAATTACGACCTAATAATAAAAAGATTACACAAAGTTACTAAAACAAATAATATATTTTATAGTTCTGAAAAAGCTTCCATTTCTATAAACGGACGAACAAACGAAATTGGTGATTGTCACTCACTATTCATGGTGATTTGAAAGCTTGTAAAATAAAAAAAGTGAATTATAATAATAAGTAAATAAAATTGCAGTTTCTTGTAAAAATAATTAGTTGATACTGCTGCTGTGTGGAAATAAATCATCGAATTTCATGTTGCATGACAGTATAAAGTAAAAGGAAGATGCATTAACACTTTCAATAAATTTAGGATAATTGAAGGCAGTTAAACATGTAATAATTCTAAACTAAAAAATTATTAACATGCATCGGAAACAATAGACTTATTTATTGATTGTTGTAATTTTTGTAGTTATCTTACCTTAGGTTAAAGTTTAGCAAAATAAATCGTCGTCAGTAAGTGAAAATGAATATACAACGTTCTATAATGTTCTGTCTTAATATAGGTAATAAGCAAAGTACCTACCTAAAATGCAAGAATAGGTTGCAGGTTGAACGACCATTACACATACATGGTTTACTATCTGCAACAACAAGTTTTGAATTATTTAATGTTAATTTCTAATAATATTAATGTTTATAAACATATTTATATTTAAAAGTGCAGCGAACAATACTGTCCCTCCTTCTTCACTGAGTGTGTAGGTGCAAACTTTACAAACTAGAACAAAATCCTGCAATTACAAAGTGAGAAGAAAAAAAAAATATGAACAACCTTAACAAAGGAACTTGTCATGAATGTTGATCGAAGGCTTTTCAGTTTCTCGGGTAAAACTGCGACATTACACGAATGTCGCTAGTAAAGTAAGTCAAGATCAGCGGAAACATTACTTATTCCAATGTATAGTATTGTACTTATCATTAGTATCGTAGATATATACACTAGCAAACAGTCGAGTTATAACAGCACAAGTCGTAATGGGTTTCTACGTGTCTCTGGGTTCCATTGCAAGACTCCACCTATTTATTCTTCTTTGCAAAAGAAAACGCATGGGAGGACATACTACTTACTTTTTTATTACTCTACTGTTCACCGACTTCGAACGGTAGTATGTTGAGTCACCTTAAAATTTTACAAAACAACAGTAAGATTGCAATGTTATTTTACATAGAGATAATGTTTAAAGAGTTAGGAAATACCGTTTTGCAACTTTTTTCGTTCCATTTAGTTTTTCAGCGAATACCTACCGAATACATTTCAATACATTATAATGTACAGTTTAATGTCGCTCGTATATTACGTAGCAATGTACAGGGCTTGAGCAGCTTTAAAAATAAAGTATTGACATCAAAGCAATTGTTGTTGTTACTAGCTGTTCAATTGACTTTTTGTGTATATGGTACGCGATTTCTTCGCCAACTGTGAACCGATATTAAGGATTCCTTTTTGAATGGACTCATTCTACGAGTCTCGAACTTACAGTTGAGCTAAAATGTACATCAACAACATCATCATCCTAATTCTAACACTATTCTTGCATTTTTTACTTTTATAAGTCGGCTTTGTGATGATGTGTATCATCAGTGATTAACTTATGCAATGTCGCACACAAAAGTAAACACAGTAATATTATTGAGAGGTTGCGCGTGGACCAATCATTCGCATTGGTTATGTCGATGACGTAATCGCCATCTCTCAATAATTTTACAGTACATATATTTAAATACAGTGTGTTTGAGAAAACATATTAAATAATGTTGTCCTTTTCCGTTATTCAAGATTACTTTTCAAATAGGCAGTTCGTCGTCTGTAATCAAGCGTAGGCAGTTACATAGTAAATGCAAACTTAGCATGTTCAGCTCTAGAGGGACCTCAATAGGATGTCAAGCAAAGCAGGCGTAAGCCTTTTGTTTAAATGACACAACAAATTATTTGCAACATGAGCATTTCGAACGTAAAGAATTACTTCTGTTTCCGCAATTTTGGCCTTCGTTTTTACTTTTGTTTTTTTAAGCATCTAATTGTTAACATAGGACAAAGCAACCGCTTGCGGAACTAATTTAATTCCGGTAGCTCCTTAAACAAAAAGCACATTGTTTGTGTACATATTTTAAATAACACTTGCATAACTCTTTAACACGAATAAAATTAACCAAGTACAAGTTACACTTGTGCGCTTACGACAAGCAGGGCTTGTATCTATATTCTAATCGGCCGAACCTGCAATATTTCAGTATTTATATTCATTCACAATTACAATGTGACATCGTTTTGAAATCCTATTAAGAAAATTCGTTGATAAATTGAAACTTTTGTTTCTCAATGTCAATGTTCTTGCAAAGAATTGTTGATTGTATCATGCACGTTACAGGCGAAACGTTGGGAAATTTTTAATTTTTCTTTACACGAAACCGCATGCTCGAGAACTAAATACAACGAATAAAACAGCCCTTTTGAAAATGCGCCTCATGACGTTAATGGCATGCACGTCTAATAATAAAACTGAAAGAACATCGGTTTATTCGACTGAAACTCGAAAATTACGTGTAACTTCAAAGCAGCATCATGTTAACTGCATTTTGAGTGATAATCATTTGGAATCGATCGTACTAACTTCATTCTAACATTTAGAATCACTACTTAATTTAGCTGTCAATTTAGCGCTCTGCATAGGTATTATTATTATACATCCGCAAATTAACTGTTATTTTTTTCGTAAATTCTCTCTTGTCTTGCCTCGGCGTTTTGAAGAAAGCGTTTGTGAAATAATCGTTCATGCAAGCTAAATTAGAACGATGTAGATTTAGCAGTTACGAAAAAAAAATTGTTTTATTCATCAGGAGGTAAAATTCTACTCAAGTACACTGGGTGTGTTTGCCGATTGCGATAGCAATTTATTGTACTTTCATTTCTATGCGTTTGGTTTAGAGTTCATTAGTCAGATAATAATTATTTATTTAAAAGTTCTACCAAAAAACGCCAAAGAATTGTTTTTATTAATGAATAGGTACATAAAAGTGATGTGAATAATTGATATCAATGTCATCGATTTTTCCTTCAATGGTAAATTTATAATGACCAAAAGAAAGAGGTCGTAACAATCTATATAAACGAATTTTTAATTTACTACATAATAATAGGTACCTACTGTAGTTTCCTTTCCTTTCTCTTGTTTCACGAATTAAATTAATTTTAAGCCAAACTCACGAAACTAATGGCAGTTTTGGTTTTAGACTTTCCATTGGAAGACTTCCTGAGCAGTCATGAAAACTTTGAAGACAAGGCAAGTCACGGTCAAAACGAAGGCGATAAACATTCTTTCTTTCCTTCCTTTTCACCATTTGAACCACCACCTTTAGGTCATTCAAGACCATTTCTGTTCCAACCAGAAGGCGCGTTTAGTCAAAAACCAACCGCTCTCCAGAACGAGCTCAGCCAAGGAGGCCTTAAGAAGCAGTTTAACAAAGACGATTCGGCTGTCTCGCGTCTAAACCTTCTTGGTTCTGGTAACTTTGGAGTCCTTAAAGGAGGAACCTTCTACAATGATCACGACGGTGATGCGTCTGATGTCGATTATCAATATCGTTCTTACTATCAAAATGGTCATGGAAGGCCCTCTTACTATCCTAACCCTCAAAATCCAAAACCCCAGAGGCAGCAGTTTGCCAATTTTAAAGATTTTGCTGACATAAATACTCCATCTTATTCCCAGTATGTTGCAGTTTATGCTAAGCAAAACGATTCCGCCAGTAATAAAAATGAGAAAGTGATAAGAGCCCCTAAAAATATTTTCGAACAGCTGGCCTTGCTTGATCAAGAATCGGGAACTACTAGCACAACCACCGAACAACCATCAACAAAAAAAATATCAAAGGCAAAGCAGAAACTAACGATGCTGATGCCTGAGAAGAAGTGGAAAATGAAAAGTACAACCACGTCTGAGCCTCCCAGTGAACCATCAGAACCCATGTTGGCATTAAGTTAATCAGTAATGTAGTGTTTAGTAGTACAAAATGAACATTTATTAAATTTGATCGTTGCGGTTGTGGTAGCCCAGCAACCACGAAGAAGTTTAACACCTTTCAAGACTGTAAAAGTGTGCTCCTTAAACGAGCATATGGGGGCACTTCTATCTAAACTATCCTTAATTTTGCAGTTATATAATTTATGGAAATAGAACCTATAGGCGAAATTCTTATGGTTGAAATCGCAACAATTTTCATTGAGAATAAACTGAAAAAAAGTGCTCATTATATTAGATGTTGTCTCTTCATCGCTACTGCTTATCTGGAAGCGCACTCAGAGCCCTTTCGAAGTTAGTCGTATTAGAGAGCATCCACAGTGATTTAAAAACCGGCAAAATATAGTATTATTTTGTTGACTGTGTTTTTTTTGTTACATGTTTATGAGCCGCCACTGTTTAAAATCACCTAGTTGTGAATTTCTGAATTCAATTTCAAGTACACGTACGCCGTAGGTATACGTAGTAAATACTTTTTTCATTTTTTTTTCTGTACTAACAATAATACTATTCAAATAAAAGAGGGTGCTTGATGTAGTAGGATGCCTCATAAATTTCTTGGAATTTGTATGCTTACGTATGCAGCAATTGCCAACATTTTGAAAAAAAAAGTACATACACGTACAGTACTATTGAAGACAGTACCTTCACAATCCGATACACACTTTATTATATTGTATTCATTGAAATATGTATTTAAGATCCTTACCAAATATAGTTACCTGCTAAGCCTTAAGTACTACATACAGAAAGTGGACTTAAATGAGACGTACAAATTAATCTATTTTCGTACAGTGTATATCCACTCGGTGTAATTTTAATTATTCTTAAGCAAGTAATTTAAAAATTGTAAACGGATTCTTAGAGTCATTATGCAGTAAAAAATGCAACGGTATTAAAAATATAAAAATCAAAGTCTTCATTAGGTTAAGTGAAAAAGAATTGTAAACGAATAAAACTACAAATAAATATAATAGTTTTTTCCTCTTTTATTTGCATTTAAACGTCATTGTGATCTTTTTGTATTTGTATAGAAGTATATAGATATGTATTGTATGTCTATGATGGGTCTAATATTTCTTTGAAAGAAATAACTCGTGTAATAGTTTTGCGGTTCTTCAACGGAAGTGTGGATAAGTAAATTCCTAAATTTGTTTGCGAAAAACTCGATAAAAGTTTTTTTTTATTTCGGAGACGAAGCTCAGCAGATGAAATAAAATTTCACGCTGTGTTGACAACGGCAATAAAAACATTTCAGTGGTTTACTTATCCTTTGGGTGGGAATGCGCGATATTTTGATTGGCTTATGAACAATTTTAATTTTTCTCCAATAATCCAAATTCTCATTTAAATAAGGACATTAATATTAAAGATATACAAGACCTATATCTTAACCAAAATCGTTAGAAATACTCCAAAGAAGCTCTACAAATATTCCGACTCTTTTTCTTTTAAATTTCTAATGTTTACTGGTGTTGTTGGTAAAATTAACTCTCAAACGAAGGATTCTCCGTCATAAGCCACTGAGTGATGACTTTCATCCGTAACAAAAATCACGAAATCTACCACGGGGCGGCCTATCAGGATAATACGTAACTTTTCATCTCGCTCTATTTCCTCTGTAAGGATGTCCGTCCGTGTTGTGTGTCTCGTTCAGTTTTTCTCCGTCATTGGTCGAGTCGCTCGCAGGTCTGATCTGGTGCACTCTGTCTCTCATAACTTCATCCGACCCGATCATGGCCCACTGGGGACTCTATGACAAATGTATCCTTTCGCCAAGTTCAAATTAGTTCCGGCCGTATAGTGATATGGATAGGAGATACGTAGACGACGTCGAGGTAGGCGAATATCTCTCTGTGTGCACATATATGTACGAACGTGTGTGTGTTGTGTTGCGGGGAAAGCCCGGCTCTCTCTGCACACGTTATAAAACAAATAATGTCAACTGCTGACTTCGGAACGAATGAATACATATTTGTTTTGGCCGATATAATTTATCTCTGCGGGAATGCTCGAACGTGGTTTTTCAATTTCGTCTTTCGTTCTGATCGTGAATTTGCCAACTCCTACGCGGAATGTTTTATGGTTTCAATTGTTATCCGTACTTTAATGGAAATAATCGTTGAAATTGTTAAACATTGGACTGTATAAACTTCACCGTCATATCCAAATTCTTCTTGCAAGAGTACTTATGTATATCATCTAGAAATATTACTCATATTAATGAGATGCTAACCAACTTTGACAGGACCAATAAAATAATAATAAAATTTATTTTATACTTTACAACTTTGTAAGTTTTATAAATTATGACTATTAATTCGCCACCTTTGACAAAAAAGCAACAAGCGAAAAGTGAATAAGGCAGAAACGAGTTTTAAATCCCAATCGCCGTAACTATATTAGAATATACAGATGATAATGGGGATGTTCCTTAACTTAAAATAATATCAAACAATTTAATCTAAAATTAATAACAACATTGATGCCTAATATATTTTTGTTGTTGATTAAGCAGGATTCCTTTTTTTAAATTGTAGAACATTCATCGTGAAAAATATCGGACAACAAACGAATGTGGCTATTTCCTAAATTCTGTAAGCAGTTTGATTATACAAACATGTCTATTAGTTTACGATAAGAGTGTTAATTCGGTTTTTAGGTGGTCAAGGTTACAGTAGAAATAGATATAATTCATTTGAACAAAAATTTTTTTAGTTTAAGTAGGTACAGCTGAAAACTCCGAACATGCTGAAGAATCAAGTTAAAGAATGTCATAATGGATGATGTATTGGAACCATATAGAGGGGATGTATTAAAAAATTAAATTAAAGCATCTAAAGTTGTTAGGCCTCTCCCCTTCTTTAATATTAGGTGGATACGAATTTTTTGGATTCACTAATGAATTTAGGGTTGTTCCATTCGCGGAGAGACTCCAACATCGTCGTGCCTCATCCACACCAGCACTAACAGAACGAGGTCTTCCACACCCCACGTTCGCTGTTTCTCAAGGGAATCAACTTGCGTCGTTGACAATTTGAAACTTATTTTAACATTCATATAGGTATATGACCTGGTCCTCATTTAAATGCATATTTATAGCCCATCACCCCTGAGTGTCCTTGCGTGGAAACGTGTTGTAAGTTTTCGGCCGGCAAAGAGTAATAACCAAGCAAATAATGGAACAGGAGGCCTTGGCACATCCATTAAAAGATAATTAGTTCGCCGAAATCTCTTCGCAACTATAAAATTCACAGTACCACCCCAAAAGTATGGAAAAGGGGTAAACAAAAAATCATATACGCATAACAGACACACCTTTTTCGTGGACAGTTAGTAGCATAAATAAAAAGAAATTAAAGCAAACCGTACAGGAGTGTACCCACGAAGATGACTCTGGTTATTTTATTTTTAGATATTATTTTGTTGTTTAAGTTCTGGACATAGGTACCTACTCTTGGACGGTTTCCCTCCGGTTATTAGTAATCAATCGTAGAACAAATTTTATTCCGATACAACAATTTTTGGGCATATATATATTTAAGGAAATTCCTGTTGTTTTCTTCAATCCGTCGAATGTTCTAAGGCGATCATCGTGAACTGTTTTTGTCTTCAAATGACATTTGTTCATTTCTGAATCGTAAAAATCACTTATAAATTCTTGTCTGGTTTACAGCTTCCTTCTCGTACGTTTCCCGAAACATTGAAACTGCTCGCTTGCTGTTTTTTTTTTTTTTTTTTAAGAGGAAACAGAATCTGATGTTGACGCGTTGCTCTATAATCAATAGCGTTGGTAGAGGCTTACTGAAACCATAGTTTTGTTACTTATCATGGTTATCAGTTGGTCAATTAAGAACAACAAAGAGTGCTAACTTATCGCACAGTAAATTATATTCTGAAAAAGAGATTGCAATGTGAATCGCTTCTCAACCTGCAGTAACGTCGTTATGAAGAGCGTCATGGCGCAGTTAAGGTTTTACGACCCGACCTGCAAGATATACACAAATAATAAATAAGTTTAGTAATAGAAAGAGTAAAAGGCAACGTTGCCACCTTCGCGACTTCATGATAACGCTACACATTGTTATACACGGTGCCTTTATGACAGTTTTGTTTCTTTTAAAAAGTTTTATGGTCGTCCGGGGAAGTGGCACTTCTTCGGCTGGTAATTATAAATGCAAGAGACGATAACCGAGCGGAAGGAGGAATACTGTTCGGATGGAATAAAGTTGAATATTGTGATGAAACTTTTCCTTTCATAAAAATAAGACTAACTACCTAGGTGTAAGTATGTGTGTGCATTTATAACTTTTAGGGTTGCATACCTAGAAACAAAAAATCCGAACTCTTATTACAGGATCAGTTCGTTGTCACTGAAAGTTTAGTATCAATGTTTTGACACGAAATTGATACGTAGCAAACTTAATTTCTTTAGTTTGTTGTACGAGTACATTGTGCTGTTATCCATTTTTTCCTCAGGCATCATAAGCAAAAATGGTTCAAATTTATTACCTAAAGTAGCTACTTATGTTTGACGATATACCTACGGAACTCTCGGTGCCATGCACGTGTACGTACGTATGTACCTACATATTCCTTAAAATAACATTTGGGAAAAAGGCAAGCTGTTAGGTTGCAGAAGTATATTAAAATGTGAGTTTAATAAAGCTATGTATTTCAGTTAGTTAGGAGAGATCGGGTTTGGTTGAATGTAGACTGTCTTTTCGCCAAGGGATGCGGATGTTAATTATGAAGAACAAGTCCAGTTCCGACGGGCCAAGTCCCTTGGCGGGCCGCAAAAGCGCCCGTATTATTTCCCTATCTCTCACTTTCTGCACCATTTCGGACAGTTCTTCTTTCCCTTTCGAATAACAACAACGGATTTCCTTTATCTCTTAATGGGCAGTCACAACGATGGTGTATAAATTTAATTTAGACTTAGAATGTGAGTAAATATGCATATCTTTCTTTAAAATAATTGTAGGTACCCACTTTTGGAGTTAAACTAAATTGGAAAGGCGAAACGGCGTATCTTAAAAATGTTACAGTCTGTGGAATTACGGATTATTTATTACTAAATGGACACTGAATGAATTTGTAATTATTTTCTGGAGAAAAAATGCCATGCAAGAAAATACAATAACTGGCCGATGTCACCCTAGACAAAAATTTTCGGTCTCTCTCCAGTCTCTCACAGTCTTTCAGCGTTTCTGAGAGCGTCTTTCACAGCCTCTCAATTATTGCCTAGGTGTTTTTATGGATCTCTCACAGTCTCCGTATGAGAGACTCGAACGATAAAATTGTTAATTCAGATATTGGAGTCTCTCACAGAGAGACTGAATGAATAAAAATGAAAAATTGAGAGACTCGAGTCTCTCGTAGAAAGACTGGGATCTCTGAAATATGTTGAACTTTGAAAATTTTAACCATGTCTATCGAGGCACCACTTATTGATAGGTTCTAGTTTCTCGTTCAGAGACTGGATACGAAATGGGGATCTCTCTATGAGCGACTCAAGTCTCTCGTTCAGAGACGCTATACAGTTTTTGTAACAGTCTCTCTCAGCGACATCAGAGAGACGGAGACTCGAGTCTCGCTTTGAGAGACTCCGAGAGACTGAACATTTTTATCTCGGGATTGTTTAGATAATTTAGATGGAATCAATACGGTGGGATCGTCTTTAACGAAAATACTTATTAGTTGGTTTATGTACCAACTCTTGAAAAAGGAGTGAGTATCTAATAACACCTAATTGGATGAAGTGCCCCTAGTATTCATTTTCAATATTAAAAAATTAATGCAATTCTGCGAATAACATAAGGTATTGTCAGAATTAAAAAATAAAAGCATTTCATATGACTAAATATACTTACACTTTCCAAGTTCTAATTTAATAAATCGCTACAACGCCCACAGCGATGGCGTGCCAACCTGCTATTCTTACGAATAAAC